CCATGGTCACTTGGGTCACTCGGATGCATATAGCTTTTTAACACAGTACAAAGGGCTGAAGACTTGCAGTGCAAAATTATTTTCTGAGGCCTGATTATTTATTGTTTTTTTTTTTTTATTGAGAATGCATAATGTTCATCTTTCACATGTCTGGTTAAACTTTAGGCACTGTAGGCTTCTCTCAACTGAAGCAGAAGGTGGAAAATGCATTTCAGATTTTCAGGAACATGGACGATGATGTGGAAATTATGATCTGGAGTCCCTTGTGTAAAATATCGAGTTGTGCTCGGACTCTCCATGTGCTGGATCGCATTGTAAGTGCTCTCAGATACCCAGACACTCTTTGTGTGTGTTTTCCACACACGACTCAGTCTGTGTTTTTCCTTCTCCTGATTGTGCTTTCAAGGTGAATGTGGGCCATGATTTTAGTGTTAAGTGTCATTGAGTAAACTCAGGACCTTTGATAAAACACAACTTACAAACTAATGGTCTCAGATCATTGGACATTGCACTACAGGAAACTGGTAATCACTGAGACTTGGGGCTGTTGGCTGGACAGGTGGTTCCAGGAAGAGAGGTACATAGAAAAGGGCTCTAATATGGAGAACAGAAGGAACCGGGAGCAGGTGTCACACCCCACCCACCGTGTTTGCCTGATCCTCCTGTTTCCTCCCCGGCATGTTCCTTCCCCTTTTGTTAATCACTCGCAGCTGCCTCCTGTTCCCCCCTTCTTTAGTCTAGTATTTAAGTGCTTCCCAGTCCTGTGCTCCCCAGTACTGTCATTGACACTGTTACCTTGTCTCTGTCCCCGTTCTGTCTTTTCCCCTTTTTTGATCCCTCTTGGGTCTTATTGTTTTCTGTACAGTAGTGATGGGCAAAATGATATTTATGAACCATTTGATGTATTTTTTGACTCCACTAGATGGTGCTGTCTGTTCAAAAAAGGGCTCAAAGCATGCCCCAAAGCAAGCCAAGAGCACCATCTAGTGAGCTCAAAAAATACAGCAAATGGTTCATGAAGCTTCATTTGCCCATCACTACTGTACAGTGCCTTTGCCTCGCTGGTTATGACAGCAGGAACCAGGGAATGAGGCTGAAATTCCAAGACAAATAATATGTTGTCAGACTGACAGCACGGCTGAAGAACTCCATCTAACGAAAATCGGCTATCAGAAAATACAGGCTCAAAGACAAAGCAGTAATGGTGCTTTTCCACTGCAACCAAGAACCAAGCCCTCCCTGAGCCGTACCAATGGAGAAACAGTTTTCCATTGTAAATTATGCGAGCCGTACCCGAGCTGTACCCGCACAATTATTCATTGTTAGTACTATTGCACATCACGATGTATCGAATCATTCCTGATAACTCAGAACTTGAAAAGTACTAGAGAATGGCTGAACGGAATGGATTCGTAATGCAGATTTATGGAAGTGAACGCTAATATTCTAGCATTCGATGCTAACATAAGACGGTGACCCTCTGTTTTGGACAAAAGAATGGGGAAATATTTAGCAACTGTGTAGATCTGGTCTAGTGTGCTCCTTAAACTTGAATCATCTCGCACTGGAATGTATGTTGGTATGGTATATTGGCACTGGCAGCTATAATAAATGGCGATGAGTTATCAACCAGTTACCTCAGAGTATTGACTTGTCCCATGTCAGATACCATCACACGGACTATATGGGTGTGTCACCCAGTTCATGTGCATATTTGCAGCTTGAAGAAGGTTTCCTGTCTGCAGAGGACAGCTCAATTCTAGACAGTGACGCCCCACAGTTCCTGTCAGAGCTGCGGCAACTTCTGAGTATAGTGGAACTCAATCTTGACATACAGTGTGACCATCCTTTTCTCGAGCCGCTCAATCTGCTGGTGAGCTCCCTGAATGGTGAGTAATTTCTTGTCTATTTAACGTTCCCTGCTGGCTTTTTGTGCGGATGCTGTTTGTTTGTGATCCTCTCCGCCGAGAGCATTCCTTAGCTTACCTCAGTGTGTGTCAGCCTGTTGTGTGGCTAGCAATAGCGTGCATGTGCCCGTTCCCCCTTCGTGGCATCGCTGAGAATGTGTTGAGTTCTTCTGCATGTAGCTTTCTTTGTGTCACTATGTCAGCCATCTGGTTTGCATGTTGTTTTGCAGAAATAGATGAGCAGGGCGTGACCCTGATCAGTAGACAGGACCCAGAGGTCCGGAGGCAGGTGCTGAACACGGTAAGCCTCTGGGCCCCTTTACCTTTTTATCCTGGAAGAGGAAGGTGTACGTGTGTTCATTATGCATATATAAGTAAGCAGCATTTTTAGCTTAAGTCAGGTGGCAGAATGTTGTATTTCTAATTGACAGCAATGACCGAAGCTTTGGCGAATTGTGGTTTTGTTTCCAGGTGTTGATCTGAAGTAGTTTTAATTATTTATTGTCCACCTATGAGGCAAAGTCCAGGACCATGATAAAATTTTATTTATGCACATAATGACAAAATCCCACTGTGATAAAGGTAATTGCAATTGTGTTGTCCTTATAGGTTGAGCAGGTACTGGAAAATGTCTTTGAGAAGACAGAAGGAGAAGCGTGGAGCAGACTTTTTGGGGGGAGCAATGCGAACGAGGCCAAAACTGTGCTGCAAGCCTGCGGAGTTATCCTGGATGAGACAAATCCATATCCAGCCCTGGGGAGTCCAGGGGTTCCTGACATTACCCTCATATCACTCTACATCGCTCTGAAAGGGCTGAGCCTGCTCTTATTGCCATAGGCGCCCTCTGCTGGACACTCACTGCCATTATTTTAAATTTTCTTTGAACTTTGAGCGGCTAATTACTAACAGGATTTTGCACATTTCGCTAAGCTAAAAATTCTTTTAGCTAAAAATTATCATCATCCTTAAGAATGTATTTTTTGCTGTCTTTTTCAGTGCATGCATATTTAATCCTTACTATGCATGGGGTCAGGGGAGTATATTTTTCAAATATATCAGCATAGTCAAGTTTCAACGTAGACATAGTGTAAGATTTAATATTTAGAATTTTGTGATAAACGGATGACTACATTTTATACTAATATTGCATTGTAAAATTTCTAGATCTATCCACCTTCCATGTGCATATCCTGGATAGGGTCTTGAGGTTTCCAGTGACCATGTATACAAAGGCTCTGTAATCGATCATTAGACACATGGTGGGGCTGTGGAGCTGACCCGTCACATGATGCTCGGGGGAATTAGTGCTGGTCTACTAGCTTGTGCTGTCAGACCACTGCAGATTATTCAAAACACTGCAACATGTCTGATATTCATTCAGCCTAAATGCTCTCATGCCACACCTCTTGTCTCTTTTCACTGGCTCCCTTTTTGGTGCTGTCATCAAGTTCAAGTCCTTGGCCTTCAGATCATTAATGGACCTGCACCCATCTCCATCAAGGAGCTGCATAAGACCTATGTGCCCTATTGCCCCCTTCGGTTAGCAAACCAATGGCATTAGGAGCTGCCTCCTCTCCCTCACTCCAGACGGGTCTCTTCTGTGGTTCCCTGATGGTGGAATGAGCTGCTAAACCACTTGCAGTCATCAGACTCCCTTTCCACCTTCAGTAAACACCTCAAGACCCATTTGGCCCAATGCTAGTAGAGTAGTTCCCTGAATGATTTTGTTTTGTGTTCCATTTTTGACCCTTGTATAGTCTTATTAGGTTCTTGCTTTGTTAGAAGATTCTGCAGCTTCTGCTCCAACACTGCTTACACCTGTACCTGGACATTCATCGGAAGCTCAGCCTAGCTACACTTACAGTATGCCGATAGCATGTATATTTGTAATGTGCTGTTTCCTTCACTTGCATGTTGCTTTGTGTAAAGTGTCTGCTAAATATGTTGAATGTTAATATAAAGGGCTCCTCAACATTAAAGGAACTGAAATCACTGAAGTAATCGTTGCTTGAAGCATTCAGTGTTTGAAAAGTTCAGTGTTTGCGGTTCTCAGAGTGAGATGACATCCTCTAAGTATATAATTACAACAATGCCCTCCTTGTTTCATAGGACAAATTTTGGGTTTTTGTTTTATAAAGACAGGCACTTCAATACTTACCCATGTGGACGTTGCCACCAAAGATTAAATAGAATTAGGCAGTATTTATCCTTTTTAGGTATTAGTTCACATCATTTTAATTTTTTTTGCTAAAGAGATTTACTGAAGTACTATAATTATAAGGACTGCATATATACCTTTCCCCCCTTGCAGGTTGCTATTTTCTGCAAGGCTTCTGGTGGCCACTAGGGGGCAGTATAGTACCATCCTTGGCACTAATGAGGAATGGCATTTACTTCCTATAAATAGAATCCACCGCTAGGGAGACATCACTGGCCTGGTTTTTCATCACTGGCAGTATTTGTTCTTGCTAGGAGTATAGCACTGGAGAGCATGTAGACATAGTTTTCTTATAGTGAATCTTATCTGGCCATTTTAAGCACAGTATCTGGCCTGAACTGTTTACATTCGCCCTTCATGCCTGATTTAAACATTAACTTGTGGAACTCCTTCCACTTATTCACTGAATCTGACTCGGTTTTATTCATTCTTCCCCTGATCTGAGCTCACTCTTTGCATCTTCCCCACTTTATCTGCCTACTCCCTGCTAGTGGCCAAACGTTCAAAATTGGGGATTTCAGAGAAGGCGGGGGGGGGGGGGACACACGCAAGAACGTCATTTCCTGCGTATTTCCTGTCCTGTCTGTACCACCGGAAAACCCCTCCAGTCCACAGGCTCTGCTAGCCGGCATCTAAGAGTGGCACGCTGGTTGTGACCCTTACACAGAAACCCCATTTAGGAGCGAGAAGGTGTCCTCTCAAAGTGTGCGATCGCTCACCAGGGATGTTACAACCAGGCACCTCGACTGAGCCGTCTAGCTGGGTTAAGTGGAGCACGCAGAGCCAGCGCGGCGTGACGGGAGCGTGACAGCTAAGAGCCGCCACCCGCCTGCTGTGCTTGGGTACATTCCCAGTGGCGGTACCTCTGGAGTGCCAGTTTGAAGGGAAGTCTTGGCTGAGGCGCATTATAAATAGCAGCGACACAGATCCATTAAACATGAGCAGAATTCTCTGGATGTATCTTGTAACCTTTAGAGGAGACTACAGTCGTAAGAAAGTCTGTCCTGGACATCTAACATCCGTCTCCGTCATGAGTGTGAAATTTTACAGTCAACAGGTGGAGCTTCCTCAGAGACCTCTGCCGCCAGCAGTATAACGCGCGTCACTTCCTGACTGACCTGTCACCCGAATACTGATCTGAATGTCACATCTGTCACAAGCATGAGCTGCAGCTTCTCCAAAAAAATGCCTTACAGGTGCATTTTGGGATAAAATATAACACAGCCATCAAGTTAATTATTGCAAATAAAATGACACACATAGCAATTATCAGTTGTCTGGCTGTTATTAATCAAACTGAGTAAAGGAGCAATTTACTATGAGAGTTGATGCAGTTATATTCATTTAAGCATTCATACTAAGTAATGTTAGAAACATGTCTTTTATTCATAAAAACAATTCTGAGAAGCCAGCCTGTTTAATGAGGCGATCGGCTGGATCTAATGTCCATGTAACGAGTGACTTGCAGATGAAGCGATACCATGATATTGACTTATCAACACTGGATGCAAAACAAAAATAGCACTAATAAGCAGTAAACAGCATCACTTTGCCAGTTTTAATTTCCAAAACAATATTCAAAACAAGCTACCAGACTGACATTTCAGTCTTGAAGTCTAGTTTACAGGGGTTCCTTAATGTATTTACATACCTGTAGTTTTTGACAAGTAGCCAACAGATGAGAAATTGCGAAGAAACATTTAAACATTTATATTGTATTTATTTACATTGAGTACTAGGGCTTGATTATGTTACATCCTGTGAGGTTCTCCTTCGGTTACGCAAAACAAATACATTATGTTGATATAGAGTTCTTCATTGGAACTTGTATGTAACCATTTAGGTTGTGCTTTGCTTTGATTTATATGCAAACAGCATGTAGTGGAAAAACTGAAGGGTTTTAACAAAGACAACCTTCAGCACTGGGGGTGGGGGTGGGGGGGGGGGGGGGGTTGGTTGTGATGGGTTTGAATGTGTGGGCAAGAGGCAAGAACAGGATTAATGATCCCTCCTATTCCACCCATGATTCCAAGTAAACATTTTTATTCTCAATTCCTTATTATGGACTTAAAATCTCAACAAGACCGCTATTTAGAATTAAAAAAAAAAAAAACAGAATGGGTGAAGGGAAATTGAGAAAATTGCAGATTGAAATGCTTATTTGATTGGCACCCTGCGGAGAAAATATAGATGTTCAATGTATAAAATCAAGCATGGTAATACATCAGTCTACCATGCATGACCTGCCATTTAAAAATAGCTACTATATGAGAGTCAGTTGGGGACAGTATGTAGCCTTTAAGTTTTACCCTGAAAAGCAAATGGATACAGTAGCTGTGTGAGAAAACATCTCCTCTCCTCACGTTCTCCTATGCTGACATCTGAGGTGAAAGATGATTAACAAATTCATCAGCTGTGATGATGACAAACAAAGTGTTGATGAGCAGATGATGGACTGAATTAGCATCACAGGAGACAGAAGGTTTGAAACACAGAGTATTTAAACAAAACTTTTGATAAGTGCTGTGTCAGCAAATGAAATGCCCACAGTGCTTTAGCATGGGGATTGTAACAGATTAACTGGTATATCTTATGCTGATTTGGCACTGTCAGACAAAAACTTTATTTTTGGGACATTAAAAATATTGTTCGACTTAAGATTATCAGTCCTAGTCATAGATTTTGTTCTTCATTTATTGAGATTAACTGGGCTGTTCATTGAATTCTTCATATAATAGGTCATACTGTTTCATAAGGTGAGTTACAGAGGAAAAATCTGATGCATTTTTAAACTTAAATAGTGTTAAACCTTATTAATGTTTGTTCATCATTTATGATAACAAGTTTTATAAGGTTACTGAACGAAATGATTGAAATTAAGACAATAATGCAATAAAACAATTTTGACAAAACTTGTTTCAGATAAAATCAACCAAGGAGAAATGAAGCTGATAACCAAGAACATCAACATTTTCCCATCTTCATTGGAACGTCTCTCAGCTTCTTAGTGAAATGTCATTGTTTCAAAAATCAGCCTGAAACTATCATGGACCAAGTCTTATCGAGTCTTATTAAAACCCTGTGAAGCATTCCTGGAATCATTTGTAGTGTCCTTTACCTGGAACGATAGTTTGGCTGATGTTGTCTTGTCTCATAGATTCACTAACTGCATTCCGTAATTGTGTAGATAGAAATGCATGGATGTTTATGTAAGAAAAACTAAATGAAAACTACATACACCTACAGCAGGTTCAATAAACATCTATATACTGTCGTGTTTTGCTATCAAATGTCTATGTTATCGAAAAGATCTTAGATTACGTCCCTCCTCTGACTATTTAGAAAGGAATCCAATATGGAACATTCCCTTGTGACTGCTCTATTGCTGTGAGCTTTGGTCATGTGACAGCACTCGCTTCTGATTTACCTAGCCATTTCCTTCACATGCACCATTAAAGAAGCAGAACAGGCAGCCATGTATTCAGTCCTATCAGAAATCATCTACGACCATATTTCACAGACCTCTGTAGCAGATCAATAGCCTGGAATGTGTTTTCAGTCATCAGCAAGCATTTGCTGTAATTGCTCAAATCATTAGAAGGAGCTGTTTGGCACATTGTCGTAGGCATACATTGAGCTCCCAGGCTTCACACAAGTGACTTTCATGGATATTGTATTGATTAGCTGTTACAGTTGAGCCGCTGTTTTTCCTTAGCATTCATCAATTTGCCCATCTGAGGATAGTAACCTCCCAGTGCGGTGGAGAGATTTGTGTGTCTCAGCGATCCCCAGAGCTATGTTGGCTGAAGTTTGAGGTCTTGGCAGGGCCAGGTCTGTGAGGTGAGACTAGACGAACTATGATCCAACAATGACCCCCTCCATGAAAGCTACCAAGAAGTACTCTGCTCATGACTGGGTTACTGGGACCTACCCCTGGGCCTGACTAAGGGGTGGTTTTGGCTCAAGAGTGCCTGGTGACTGGGCACCTATATAAGCCAGCTGGTCTCAGCACGCAACTGCTCTGTGGAGCCATTTTGTTGGCTAATTGCCCTTTAGGTGAATGTTGGGGGTCAGGTGCAGTGCGATTTGGGTGGCTGGAGTAGGAAAGACCCAGATGGCTTAGGGATCTCTGGAGATCTGCCAAAATGAGCTGGTGCCTGGAGAGACCTTGGAAAGAGGATTTTGGTCTGACCTGCCAGCTCAACTCTCACTGGGAGAATAAAGCAGTGTGAAGACGAGGAATAGGATGATGATTGATCAATTAATGGGTTTCAGCATTTCTCTACTCCGCCTGGATGATCTGCAGTTGAGACAGATGCAGCACACAGACCTTTCAGGCCTGGCACTGAGTTTTGGGCCAAACAGTTCAGATGTTGATGTCCTTGAACTCAGACCGTATGCAGACTAGAAGCTGCGATTGAAGTCAAGTTACCCATAATAACAAACTAGAGGAAAGCATATATGAAAGCCGCTTCAGAAAAGTGTTTTAGTGCTGAGTGCAATGAATAAGAAGCAGTCCTGGATTGTTAGTCACGCTTGGTTTAAAGCCAGACTGTTTGCTGCAGTTTCAAATAATTCATATAATTAAAAAGAGAGCATTTTATATTTCGCTGTTATAGCCCTCAGTCACCACTGTACCCCAATTCCATTTCCAACTCATTACAAATAAATTACAAATTGAAGGGCTGTAATTAAAATTCCTCCTCATTAACATTTTCTGTATTGTAGATGGGCTTGCAAATGGCAGGCTTGGCACCAAGCCAAATTAAAGTGCAGCAATAAC